GAAACAGTCTTTGTGATGATGAATGTCACACCATTCCTCTTCAATTTGTCATTCCTGGTATAGTAGATCATATGGTTGTCTGATTCAAAATGGCGAAAACCTGTCCATTTCAGCTCACTAATGCCTAGTATATCAATCTTTATGTGTTCCATTTCATTTGCAACAACTTCCAATTTTCCTAGATTCACACTTCGTACATTCCATGTTCCAATTATTAATGAATGTTTGCATCTATCTCTGCTCATTTTGAGTTGTGCACATCAGCCAATAGAGATCCCAAAAGGTCTAGTCTGTCCATATTGTTAAGGTTTTCTCTACTCTGAGGAGCCAGCTCTTTCCTAGTCAAATTTTGAGTTCCTTCCTACCTCATGGGCTCATCTTCTGGCACTATGTCAGACAGTGTTTCAGGGCTGTTCTTAAAGTTTTCCAGTAATATATCAGACAGTGTTTCACTGCTATTCATAAGGTTTTCACAGCCCAATTCTTTGAGAAGTGGATGGCCTCTTCCTTCTTCCAAGTCTGTCTTAGGCCAGAAGCTCCGCTGAAACCTCTCCACCATGGATAACCCTGCTGGCATTTTGCAGCACTGTGGCATAGCCTCCAGCCTCACAGCAACACATAAGCCACCACAGGATGACAAACAGACAGACAAATTCTTCTCCCTTACTTCTTCCTAAGCCCTCTGCACCAGCCTACCTCAGGCCCTGGCTTTAATACAGAGTCACAGCCTTGCGAAAAGCAGCCTCCAATACCCGAGCCTGCCTACCTCAGGCCCCTGCCTTAATATAGAGCTATACCCAAGTGAAATATAGCATCCAAGCCCCCAGCCTGGCTACCTCAGACCCTGTTCTTAATATAGAGCCACACCCAAGTGACAGCAGCCTCCAAACCTGGGCAAAATCTCCTTGGCCAAGTAAAATAACAGTTCACAAATTCTGCAGATTAGGAAGTGGATATCTCTGGGAAAACTGTTTTTCTGCTTATTGCAAATTTAGTTCTTCAATTTCTCTTCCTGACACTTAGATCTCTAGCAGTACCCAGCTTAAATATTTTTCTTGCATTAATACTTTAGAAGAAAGATCTAGTACTCTACTTCTCATAAAATAGCCAGTGAAAACCTTATGAATTACAATGGTCAGATCTGAATCAGGGTCATTCCGATGTGCATGGGGTTACAAAAATTAGGAGCTGATTCCACAGCAACTAAAAACAATAATTAATATTTTGTTCACTTTTCAGCCTGTACTGACTTCTCCAATTATTAGTCTTTTTAAAATTATTTTCTTAATGTTGCTTTCCCAAGCCAAAGTGTGAACTCCATGAGATAGGGATGTCTATATATCTTACAAAATTTTGTATCCTTGTTGTTAGGTTTGTATCCTTGTTGTTGTCAGCTCTGACTCATAGTGACCCTGTTTGTATTCTTACCGCTTAGCATATCCTTGAACATAGATGTGCCCAATAAACAAATATTGATCAGTTTGTGAATGCATGAATAACCATTATTGTATAAATGAATTGCTTACTTCCTAAACTCAAAATCATGAGCCTCCTCAAAGATACATAACTGCATTTACAATATGTCAATCATCTCAGATTAAAACATATCTTCCCTCCATTTAGAACACCTTTCCAACTGCTAGTGTCATGCCAAGTCTAAAATAAAAACAGTAATGTCTGCTAGAACTTTGCTGTCTGTTTTGCCAAAGACCTCCCTTATTATTTTTCCCTGTCAAAATCTATTCTTGCATCAATATCCACTATCTCACTGTAGCTACTATATGCAAGCTGACTTAAATTGCTATGGAAGTTTACCTCCTAAGCATCTATCAAAATTTTCCTATTTTCTCCATCTCTCTTGCCATTGTCCTTGTCCAAATTATGATTCTTCCATGGTAGAATTTTCTTAGAACCAAAACTAGTTGCCTTTGATTTGACTCATGGAGACTATATATGTACATATATATATATATATATATATATATATAGAGAGAGAGAGAGAGAGAGAGAGAGAGGAAAGAAGGTTGGGCAATCTACTTCTGTAGTGATACCGCCTTGGAAACCCAAGGAGGGATCGCTATGAGTCAGGGCCGATTTGACAGCACATAACCACAACAAATATATATATATATATATATATATCTCAGAGGAGAAGAATGCCCCATAGGGTTTTTGATAACTGATTGCACAGAAGTAGATAATTTCTGAGGTGCTTCTAGGTGAATGCAGACCTGCAATCTTTCAGTTAACAGCCAAGTGCATCAACCATTTGCACCACCAAGAGATTTCAGAGTTTTCTTATTATCTTCCAATTTACCTCCTTACTTCAATTGTACTCTTTAATCAGTTTCTCCACTTTTAAGCACAGTGAATTTTAGTAAAAATTAAACAAGCCATATTACCCACTCATTTAAAACACTATCTTTCCCCTACTACTGTTGGGGTAAAGAATAAAAGTCATGGGGTGGAAAATTCCTTATATTTTGGCTTCTATATCTTGCTCTGTCTTATTTCAGGCCAGGGATCTAAAGAAATCTGAACTTCTTTTACCGGAGGCATGATAAAAACCCAGGCTAGAATAGACAGACAAGAACCAGATAAGAAAAGTCTGTTACAAGAGGGACAACTCACTCCTACTGAGTCCGATCTGACTCTTAGCGACCCCTTCTTGGATTTCTGAGGTGGTATCACTACGGAAGTAGATTGCCCAATCTTCCTTCCAAGGGGTGGCTGGTGGGTTTGAACTGCCAGCCTTCTGGTTACAAAAGTTAGGAGCTGACTCTATAGCAACTAAAAACAACAATAATTAATATTTTGTTCACTTTTCAGCCTGTACTGACTTAGGGACTATGCTACCAGGAAAGGAGACATAAAATTCACTGATGACAAGTCCTTGATTTGGCATAAAAAGAGACCAGACCCAGAAAAAGTCAGCGACTTCCTCAGGGTCACACAACTAATGATAACTGACTGATATGGTTTAAAATAGGATTACAAATTGTCCATGTAGTCATTAATTTTGGCCCTAAAACAATTAAAATAGATATTATTATATGATGAAAAAAATCCCGAAACAGAAATCCAATAGGTAAAATGAAGGGAGCAATTTGAAGAAAGAATAACTTTCCCTGGGTCAGAGATAATGCCAGACCTACAACTTTTTTCTAAGCCTTTCCCATGTGAAGAAGGCATCATGGGGTTAGGTCTCAGTACCGTTGCTGGAAGAATTGAAGCCATGGGCAATGATACAAGGCAGGTGTTGAGATTTCATCCTTCTTAATTTTGGATCAATGTTTGATGGTTAGATGGATTTAAAAAAAAAAATTGCTATAGAGTTGATTACAACAGAAGAAAATCCCATGCCTGTCAGAGAAGAACTGTCCTCCTTAGAGTTTTAATGACAGACTTTTCAGAAGTAGATCACCAAATCATTCTTTGGAGGTACTTATGGGTGGACTCAAACCACCAACCTTTCAATTAGGAGCCTACTATGTGTACTGTTTGTCCCACCCAGGTTCTCTGGTAAGACTGGTATGTTCATCTTAGATGGATAAACTTTATGTTCTGGAAAGATGAGATCACTCATCTGAAGGGCAAAAATATTGTGTGCATGTAGTTAACAATGTATTATTTACTCTCAAAACAAGCTAAATTAATTTCCACTGAGCCAATTTCATCTCAGAATAACCTTGTAGAGAACTACCCCCTAAGGTTTCCAAGGCTGTAAATCTTTATGGAAGTTGACTGCCACATCTTTCTCCTGTAGAGTGGCTGATGGTTTTGAGCTGGGGAGCACTTAAGCACTGCACCACCAAGATTCTTATTATGTGTCCCAGACTTTTTCAAATACATTACCTACAGTATTCTACGTAATCCCTATAATAATTATCTGAAGTAGATATTACTCTTTCTGGACTTTACAGCTTAGAGAAATTGAGTATTTGCTAAAATTGCAGGTGATGGAACTGAGACCAGACTCAGGTTAGACTGCTTTTGTTCAAAAACCCTATGCTGAATTATTGCTAAGGAGATAAAAGAAAAAGAAATAAAAAAAAAAAAAAAACCAAAACAGCCTTTTGGGGTGATACTGGATAGGTCAGAAATGCAAACTGGTGTTCTACAGAAAAAATCTTGTTGAATACTGTTTTATTTGATCAATGTAGCAGTGGATCACTAAAAAATTGAATTACTTCTTAACACTCAAAAATGATAAAATTTAAAGGAAGATTCTTGATCTTTATTTTCTCTTCACGAATCACCACATTTGGTAATATCAACCAAGCATTCTGGAACTGAGAAGTCATGTCCCTTAAGACACAGTTTGCCATAGCTCTACTCCCCTTTTGTTATTCATCATTCGCATGTTTTTCTTCACTCATTTACCTTCCTGCACAGCCTCTGTACAGATTTGAGTTTGTGCCTTTAGCTCCAGACTTTCCAAGAGAGGTAAAGTGACTAGTCTTGCTTAGCCACCATAAGCTTAGATTCTGAATTCTTGATCCCAGATACCTCAGGGTGTTTCCAACTACTTCTCATGATCACTGTTGGTCAGTTATGTTTTCACATGCTAGATAAGTAGTCTTTCCTCTCTGACAGTGACCTTAAGATGTTGGTTATGTAGCATGTCCCTCTCCTAATCCTCTTTAATATCACATGATCATTTGCTAATTATCCATTTCACAGAATCACTTTTACACCTTTTTTTCAATTCATTGAGGAAGTTACAAAGTCCCAGTTATGAATAGAAACGAAGTATACTCTTTAATAGTGACATGACAAGATTCTGGAAGAGCATGAAGATTAGAAATATTTCAGTGGTTATTTCTGGAAAATAAAATCTGCTACACCATACTGTGTTGTATTTTCCCTGCATAAAATTGAGAGTTCCATGAGGACTGTGACTGTATCTTGTTCATCCAAGTATATATTGTTGATATCATAAATAAAAGTCTTCCCAATGTCATGCAGGTTAGATATTATAAAAGAGAGAGGAGCAAAGGCACATATATGGAAATACTGCCTCCAAGACAAGACCCAGCTAATAACAAAAGGCTTGGGCCACCCGTTCTCGAATCTGTTTGGTCTTTACACTGTAGACAATGGGATTCATCAGAGGAGGGACTAGAAGATACACAAAGCCCATGACCACCTGGACCAGATGGGGTCCCTGCTTCCCAAAGCGGTGGATGACAGACAAGCCTATCATTGGAGTATAAAAGAGCAGTACTGCACAGATGTGGGAGACACAGGTGTTCAGAGCTTTGAGTCTCTCAGCCCTGGAAGCAATGGATAGCACAGTGCACAGGATCAGGGCATAGGAGAAGAGAATGAGCAGTGAATCTATACCCACTGTGGAAACGATGACAAACATGCCATAAATGCTATTGGCCTTGATGTCTGCACAGGCCAATTTCATCACTTCCTGGTGGAGACAATAGGAATGTGAGAGGATTGAGGAGCCACAATAAGGGAATCTCCTGAGCATAAAAGGCAATGGAAAAATGAGTGCAACACTGCGGCCCAAAGAAGCCAGGCCAATCCTGCCAACGGCTCTGTTGGTAAGGATGGACGCATAGTGCAAGGGGCGGCAAATGGCTACCAAACGGTCAAAAGCCATTGACAGTAGCACAGAGGACTCCAGGAAAGACAAGCAGTGAATGAAAAAGAGCTGGGCAAAACAGGTATTATGACCAATCTCTCGTGCCCCCATCCAAAAGATACTCAGCACTGTTGGGAGGGTACAAAGGGACAGGCCCAGGTCAGTCAGAGCCAGCATGGACAGGAAGAGGTACATAGGCTCATGGAGGGAGGGCTCTGTTTTAATAATAAGGAGAATCATGCAGTTGCCCAGTATAGAAACTAGATACATGAAGCACAGGGGGATGGAGATCCAGATGTGCATGTGTTCCAGCCCAGGAATGCCACTCAGCGTGAAGGTAGAGGGGATGCTGCTGCTGTTTCCCAGGGATCCCAGCATCATTGTATCATTGTGTCTGGAGGCCAAGCGAGTTGTATTATCTCCAAAATTCTTAAATGGTTAGAGGAAATGGCAGTGATTACAGACAGGCAGAAATTAAAAAAAAAAAAAAAAAAAAGTAGCATTAAGCAGACTTGGAACTCTGTAGTTCCTTCAGAGATTGTTATACAACTTGGTTCTTCTCAACACTTTTTTGTGGGAAATGCTTTTAGTCTCATATTTTGATAAGAAAATGGACATGGAATTGCTGTTAAAGTCATGCAAATTCTAAGGGTTAAGCTGAGTGAGTTGGATATGGTCTATCATATTAATTCTGTCCTGAACTTTCTGGATGGCATAAACCAGTCTCCTTTGTCTTCTGGCTTTTTGCCAGACTGAACTAATGGGGAAGACCAACAAGAAGTAGAAAAATGAAAGGAGGGGGAGTTCCGGCCCTCTCACAGTAGCACTATGGTTGGTTTGGCAGTGGCTGTGTTCTACCATCAATGATCACAGCTCTTGTTGGGAACCTTTCTCCTACAACAACAGATGTCCTTGGCTTCCAGCAATTATTCTCACTTTTTGTCCTTACACAAGGATAGAGGTGAGAGAAGCATTAGTAATCCTATTAGTCATACTTTGTCCATCTTTGTAAGTAAATATTTCTTCTAAGACCATCACTAATGTCCTAGCCTTTCTTTAATATTCTTTTCCTTTCCCTTCTCTTACTTTGCTTTCTTTGCTACTTCTGCCTTTTATTTTTGTTTGTTTATCCTCACTGGCCATATATGACCTCTAACCTTATACACAGACCAGACCTTCATTCACCTCCTCTTCAGATTTACCTGTCTTATAATCCTGGTCTGGTCCAGATAGCTCAGAAATACTGTCCAGCACACAGGAGTCCAGAGACATCTGTAAAGTTATTCCTGATACTAGAATAAGAAACCAAAGCCTTATCCTCCAACCAGGAAGTAACTCTCATTCCCCAGAAGCATAGGATTCCCACTACTGTGGATCCAGATGGCGAGGAGAGGCTGAAGCATTTCCCTCAACCATGGCCACATCCTCAATTACAAGGTAAAGTCCATGAGATGCCATAGAACAAAAGGGTAATGATGTAGGTAGAACCCAGTCTTCTATAGATGAGGAAATGAAGGCTCAGTAGGGGATACTCAATGGTCAGAAGTTATATGCTAAGTTAGGTTTCCTGACTTCCCGTAACAGTGATTTCCTACTCCTAATGGCATAGAAGGTTGGGCAATCCTACTTCCGTAGTGATACTGCCTCGGAAACCCAAGGAGGGGTCGCTATGAGTCAGGGCTGACTCGATGGCACATAACAACAACACAACAATGGCATAGTACCTAAGACATTTGACTGCTAACCAGAAGGCTGGCAGTTCAAACCCACCAGTGACTCCTTGGAAGGAAGGTTGGGGTAATCTACTTCCATAGTGATACTGCCTCAGAAACCCAACAAGGGGCCACTATGCATTTGATCCGACTTGACAGCAGTGATCTTTTTCTGAGTTTAACTAGTAACTCCACTAGAATGTAAGCTCAAAAAGGGCAAGGGCTTTGTTAACCTCTATAAAGCCAGTGCCTAAAATATGTCCTTGTATACAGTAGATGCTTAGTTTTTTTTGTTTTTTTAAATAAATAATAGTTAAATTTACTTAGTCCTAGCTTAGTATGCTTCATCTCCTGAAGATAATCCTGTGAATAAATATAGTATCATGCTACAGATGAAGAAACAGAGGCTTAGAGAGATTGATCTTTCTCAGATCAGAAAGTACAGGATCAAAATGGGATTTGAACTAAAATCTGATATTTCTCTACATTCTAGAGTCTAAACACAGCTTTCCCAATTGGTGATCATTCACTGTCAAATAGCTAGTATGAAATCAAGTGCTTAATAATCCTCAATAATTTCAGAAATTTTCGATGAATTAATGAATTAATTTATCTGGAGAAATACTCGTAAATGTATACATAAACATTTTCTCTCTCGTTAAGAACACCAGTGTTATTGATATTCAGTGTCATCAGCTCATTGTCCACTTGAAGGTCAGATTAGCTCTTGGTCTGTGTTCCTCGGCTTCTGCTATGACTGTACTCAATGGTGAATTCCATGAGGCTGTGATTGACAGGGAGAGGAGCTAACAGACAAACTGCACAGTGGTTAACAATCTAACTCAAAACCTAAGCAGAAAATATGTTTGACATGAAAATGAGATGGGATGGGGAAGAAGGAAGACATATGATACCTGAGGAACATCTATTCTTTGCCCGGCACTGCACCAGTAACATTGTAAAAGCAGTAGATCTTAGAAAAAATCTTTCAAGGTTAGTATAATTTCCTCAACTTGCAAATGATAGAGTTTCAAACTTAGGTCTCTGGAGCTCCAAAGCTCATTTGGAAATTTAGAAAAATTTAAGTAACCAAATACAAGCAGTTATTTAAGATAAGACAACCTGAAATGAGTGGAGGTTTAAATGATAAATGATAGAGAGAAACAACAAATGTCTCTGGCTCCGACCTTCTTGTTGCTGCAGCTCAAAATAGACTCTCTTTGGAATCAGAGCTCGTAATTCACATTGTAAAGGGGTAGGGCAGAAATGGAATGGGAGAAACATAAAGAGGAAGCTAGATTGACTAGGGGTCTTGGAAATGAAAGAAAAAAGAATATTGAAGCCAGGAGAAGTCAGCTTTGGAAAGATCACTTTCAGTCTGCAAGCAAAAGATATTTTAGCAAGTTAACTATTAGAAATGCTTCTCATTTATAGATTCTCAGGGCTTGTGTTATTAGGTTAAGAAAGAATTTCATTGCTCTTGACCAGCATTAAAGCATTGTCCCTGGTAGGTTGGGAATGGATTCTGGGGATGGTAGGAACTTAACATATGAGTTTTCAGTCACTAGTTGCTCTGCTTAGAAAATCTGTTTTAGAAGAAATTTAGTAGGTTCAATGACTACAAATTACATTACTTACTTGTAGTCACTCAGGGAAATATCCTTTTAGGTAACAGACAAGCTTTTCTCACAGAAAGTCAGATTACTTCCTCCCTCTCTACTTCTTTGGTTCTTGGGGCTAACCCCAGATTCTGCTAACCCTGAGCCGGAAGCTAAGTGAACCTATTCTCTTGAGCCTATCTTTTTCATGCACCTTGATTTTGTCCATTTTCCCTGCCTATTCTCTATGGATCCTATCGATAGTCTTACAGTACCCTACAGGTAACAACTCTCTGGGCCAAAAACTGAGCAAGGGGACAGATGTAAGAAAGTGGTTGGCCCTTTCTGAGCTAACGCTAAGACCATACCTTGTATCTGATGAAGTCAGGAAGAGCTGAATTTAGCTGGTGCCATCTGCAGCAGACACTTCTATGGTCTTTCTTGTGCATTGAAATTTCTTCTCTGGTCCTTTTCTCCAGAACTCAGGCTTAGCCTTCTGGAACTTCTTCTTGACTCTACAACTCAGCACCAAACACTTGCCTGCTATACTGTCTCCTCATATACCAAGGCTGAGGGACTTTGGGGAATGGGGAGAGACTAGAGAGTGAATTGTTTAAATCTCTGCTTTTTATTTTTGTCACTGTCTGATGTGACCCTCTCAACAGTCTTTGATCAATTCCCTAGCAGGACCTCATTAATCTCACACCCTGGGGACAGCAGAAACAGGGGAAGGAGGTACTCTTGTGTGATATTGGGATGCCAACCACTAATAGTGCATGGTAAAGGATATAGCGAAAGTTCTGGACAACCTTTACAACTTCAGGAAAGCAAACTAGATGCTGTTGATATTGTTTTATGTATCATGTATCATACTGAATGTGATTATGCACAATGAATGTGACAGTGTGCATGCTGGGTGTGTATAACTGTATGTGACACCAAAACAAGAGCTTTTAAATTTAATTGTCTTCCCATCACCAAAGGGAGAGAAAGATGTCAGATCAAGTATAATTTTTGGAAATACTGTGATGGCATTGTGCTTATTCTCAGTGCCCCATGTAACCCTACTTGCTCCAGATTCCTACCTAGACTCAGAGACTCCACCTCTTCTTCTTATCTCAGACTTACTGAGACCTCAGCCCTTTACTTCTAGATATGAATGAGCTAATTGGAAATACATTCATTTCAGTGCTTTTATTCCAAGATAATTAGCATACGGCTTGTTGGAGCTTTTTCATAAATATAAAGGCATACATTCTGAGGAATGCCTTAAAGCCACAAACCACTAATAAAAGTTTATTCCAATTCATTGTCTTGGCTAGTCTCTGAAATATAGTTGACCTCTCCTTGTGGCCATATCTCTTTAATTCTTTTCTACATGTTTATTAGTTATGTAATATGAGGTACAATAATTTATCTCACTGACCCTCTTGTCCAACAGGGCTATCTGAGAATTGCTGAGGAAATTGACACTTTTATAATAACAAGATAATGTTGAATAAAAATAATTTGAGAAAGCTAAAATTTTCACAAAATGATTATGTGCAATGCTGCACTAGATAAGCAATGTGACCACTTTTTATGGCTATTATAAAGCCACCTTTCAATGAACATGCATGAAGTTTTTGCAAGGCATACCTGTTTACTCCTGCTAGTATTTTCTCTCCTACTTGAGTGTCAGGATGCACCTTCTCTACAAATAACCACAAGCAATACTTGAGGAAGATCCTAGATTATAGTTCTATATTAAAGAAAACTCACAATTTTGATGTAAGGAATCAGTATGTAGCAACTACCTAGCAGCTAGCTAGAGAAAAAATTCCTGTAATAAAGTTTTTACAGCTGAAAAAGCCTTATTTGAAAATATTGGTGCTGTTGTCTTAATTTTCAAAAAAAAAAAAAAAAAAAGTCAGATTGAATAGTGCATGTAGAGTGCTTTGGCACAGTTGGTAGTATAGAGTAAATGCTCAGGTGTTATTATAACTCGTACTACCTGACTATTACTTCTGTTATTTCCCAGCTAGTCAATGAGAAATCTGCAGGTGAGGAAGCAGTAGTTATAGCATGTTGCATTTC